CCGGTCCCGGTCCGGTATGGGCACGACACTGAGGGTTGCGAACCCGTTGCCGGTCATGAAAAAAGACAAAAAGGAAAAAAAAAAAAAGAATTTTATACAAATTTAGTTAATTGGCACTAGGGCTGCTATTTCATTGGCTGCTCAGAGGCTCTGTGAATGACTTCTAGGTGCAAGATAATTAAATGAGAAAGTAAGCAGAACACAAGCAAATTAAAGTCTTAGGGAGCCTACATCAATTAATAATCATTGTCATCTGTAATGAGTAGATTGTATATGTTCACAGACTTTAATGATTAAAAGTGTTTTCATCTCTTAAGGTACTAAACATTGCTCCTAAAATTCCTTTTGTTTTACAAACACTCTCTGTAAATATTACAAAAATAAAATGGTTAGCCATTTTTGCAATGATCACAAGTTCTTATACATTGAAGTATTCCTCTGATGGAAAGACTTGAATGGTGTTAAAAATATCGCTCCCACCATACCCCACCCCCAATTCCTGCTAGGACCTAAAAGATGACAAACAAACAGGCATCAGATTACTAAGGAGAAGACCCTGTACCCAAAGGAAGCTTACCGCTCTAGCTGCGAATCTGACAAGGACTCCAGTTAAGAAGGTAAAATAGTACCCAGGGTAGACACCGTGCCACAAAGCAGACAGGATGAAGGTTAGCACCGTGGGGTACTGTGGAACCCGCTCATAGCACACGCTGTGAAGAGAGGGAGGAACAGTAAGCCACAGGTAAAACACACTAGAAACTTCTAGCTGCGTTTGCTTCTTTCTGGATCAGACCAAGCTGAAATCATTTGATACATGACTGTCGGGTTGCCTGCCTAGCCCTCCTTAAGGACTTGCAATGCAATCCAAGCATCCTGAGCTGCTCTGGTTTCCTTGAGCTCTACCAGACAGGCAATTCACAGCTCAGCCTTTTTAGGAGATGCTATAAATGGTTAACCTCCGTAGACTAAATGATCTGGCCTCCATCACACTATATCTAATGAAGGTCTGAGTTCCTGCCTTATAGAAGCTTACCAACAGCCTGACCTACTACAGGTACTCAAGTAAGTGCAATCAGCATTAAAAATTCTGGAATGAGGATAAAGATCTTTAGAAATGGATATCCTCACTTAGTAAAAGTTAATTTACCTTTCCAACCAGGCCCCTATGCCATCTAACTTAACCAACATTACAGCCCTTTTCATCTCTCTTGACAATGACTCAGCACAAAATCAATGTGCCAATTACATGACCTCTTGGGTCTCAGTGTCCTTCGGATTTCAATCCATGAATCTGCCTTAAAGAGTGATACTGTGAAAATCTAGAAAAATGTCAGCCAGTACCCTGAAGATCTTTGGGTTTTGGTTGTTTATTAAAATGAAGTGATAGCATATTTATCCCCAAACTCAGTCTATAAATCTCTAATGGCTCTCTAAGGAAGTCACTTCACGGTTTACTCAATGAAAGGACCCAAATCAAAAATAAAATAATAATCCAAACACTTAACAACAATCCAGCATGGGTTGTCAATAACTGATTAAAACCCAAACTAAGGATTATGGCCCCCTCTTCCCAAGAAGAAAGAAAATGCATTTGGGAAGATAAATAGGGGACTGAGACCCCATTTGTAATGTCTGTTTTTTAAATGAGGAGTAGGTACATAAGTATTTGTTTCTTACTCTTTGTATCTTTTTGTATGAATGAAATACTTCATTTTATAAAATGATTTTTTAAGATTCTTTTCATTCTTTATGTGTACACAGGTATGTTCAGTCATCTTAGAATGCAGACTCGTAACGAAGACTGTATAACTCTTAGCACATTGGTATTACTCAGTGTAAAGAAATAGAGGTTTATGTTTAAATCCTTTGCACTATTAATTAATAGCTACAATGTTAAGGCTAAAATTTCAAAATTTTGCATGCTCGAATCAATTTGTAGAAAATAATCCAGAGCTTACTTCGGAGGAGTTGCTACACATCGTCTGTTCTTTTATCCCAATGTTTTGACCTATGAAAGATGCTACTCACCAAAAACAGTATAATCTGCTTAAAAGCTTAACATTTTAATACTCTCCCTTCACTTTTATGATAGGCATATTCATTAGGTAGAGTTTGCTACTTCAAGGATAACATTATTAGTTCCATAATAAGCAACGCCTCTAATTTTGGAACATGTAGAAAAACAAAAGGACAGAGAAATATCAACAAAAATACAAATTTAAAAAACATAAACATCTGGGGTATCATAAAACTTTTAATGCCAGGGATGAACACAGCAATCATCAGTGATTTGATGCTGACATTGACCCTCCTTGGCATCTGAGCAATAGACTCTCCTCTAGGTAAGAGGCAGCACAGACTATTTGGGCTCACTGCTATCACTCATTAGCTGTGTGACTTTGGAAAAGATAAATAACCTCTCTGTGTCTCACTCTCTTCATCTGTAAAATGGGCATAAATCTCATGGGATTGATGGGAGGTTTAAATGAGTGCCTGGTACACAGTAATGGTAACATTAAGTCATAAAATAAATGTGCTACATTATTACCTTCTCAAATCATTGTATTTCGACTTTTTCATTTACAGGGCACAGATGTTAATTCAAAACAAAAGTGTCAGATGACATTACTGTTGGCAGATTATTCCTGTTCACCTAAGGAATCCCATTTAAATATAGTCCAGTGCCATGAGTAATGAGGTCGTTTTTGTTTTTCTTACCACTTTAGCCAAGTAGCTGTCTGAATATTCCAGTTTTCTAAGTACATTTTGAAACTTGTGGCAGTCTGAAAAGAAGAAAATAACACCTATCATTAGCTTTTAAAATACCCCAAGTAATGGAAAGTCCTCTCCAGAATTTCCCTGGCAGCAGATTAGATATGCTATTTCGATAGTGACTACTCACAGTCAAGAGTAAATCATCTGTTCCATCACACACAGTAAAAATTTTCTTGTGTTTATGGGATTTATTTTGCAACTAAACCTTGGCTTGCAAAGTCTCAATTTTTCTCAAAATTTATTTTCAAATTATAGGAAAACTAAAGGAACGTTTTGTGGGTTTCCCTTCCATTCTGGTTAAAAAATGTAAGTCATCTGAATTTTAAAACTAAATATTCTAAAAAGGGATGTACCACAGGAAAAGTGTAATCATGTGAACTTGGTACCTTTCTGGAGACAGCTTAAATTTAATTGTCATCTTTTTAATATGTGGCCATATACAAACTAGGTCAGTCTTGTGCAGTTAACTCTATAAATAGCTACACAGGTTCAAATGCTTTCAATTGTGTCTGGAACAGTGAGAGATTTTATGCATGAAGGGATCGTAATACAGAAAAGAAAACAAAGAAATATCACCTAACTAGCAATAATGCAGGGAAAGCAACCACTGAGGAAGAGATACCCCCAAATAAGCCATCAACGGGGTTTTCTCATTCAAAAAAGTCATATCAAAGGCTGGTGGTAAAAGCATGAAACAAACATACAAGGACCAGAATTCCTAAAGAAGGTAGAAAGTAGAAGTGCCTTTCTGTTTTCTGCTTTTTTTTTTTTTTGGCTGAAGTTTTTTCAACCATAAGAAATCTTACATGGGCCACATTTGGAAGGGAGGGAGAGATGGAGGAAGGGAGAGGAGGAGAAAGGAAGATTCAATCATCTGATTGATAGATGGAAGATAGACTTTTTTTTATTGTGTTTTTATTTCAAAACCCTAAGGAGTTTCATTTATTCATTTCTTCTAATGGTTAATAAAATACTATAAGAACAGCCTCAGGTACCTTAACTAAACTAAAGTTCCTTGTTTTTCTTTAGCTCCTGATGATATCAAATACAATGAAAATACAAATTTTCTCTTTCTGGTTTTCTTTGATAATCAACACATAACAACTTAGCCCTTTCCCCTGAACGCATGCCTACAGGGAAAGGATTCTGTCTTGGGTGCACAGCTGGGGTGGAGTAGCAGATGGTCAAAGGTCAGGAGAGCCACTCTAAAGGACTTTCACCCACAGCACTCCAAGATGGTCGGCAGCCGTCCATGAGTTTGGAGGGAGAGAAAAAACGGGAAAAGCAAGAAAGTCGTAACATGCTCAGACCCTATCTGACATCATCTATACTGAAAAGAGAAGCCCATATTGCCATTCAAAAATGAGAAAGGTTGTCCTGAAGGCTGGAACTGCTTCTTGCTTCACACAAGGCAACCAATGGGTAAAGCATTATTTGTTCATTCAGAAATGGTTCTGGACCTTGGCCATGTCCCTACCCCATCAGCCAAGGCTTCCCACGACAGGGACCCCCAGCTCCTCTGGAACTACACAAAAATGAGTACCGTGTCGAGAGTGGGCGCTCAATTAATATTTGTTGAGTCTGATTGACTGGAGTAACCAAATAGCACGATGAGTTTAAAAGTATGATGTAATTCAGTTAGATAATAGGTCTAAGTGATTCTAATTCTTTCTGCTTGCTTGCCTTTTGAAGTAGCAATGCCTCAATGCCAAAAAAGAAGTGAAAATATAATCCTCCCTATAAATTCCACCATATATTGTTAGGTGAAATGCCAATCTCTTTCCCTTTGGAGCCCATCCAAATGCAAAAAGCCTCAGGGGAAAGAAGGTGGAGGCTTTCCCCAAGTCTCCCTTTGAACTAGTTTCCACCAAATGAGGGTGGCAGGTGGTCAGTCTCCACATATCTGTGGCTTCCTATCTACATGCATGACCCTCTTTGCCCCTCAACTCTCCAGTGGCACTCTCTGCCCTGTGGTGGGTGGAAAACCAAAACCAACAGCAAACATGAGTCACCTGGCTAGAGAACCAATACTTCTGTGTGCTGGGAATCATGCCCTTCCACTTGCAAGGAGGAAAGGACCTGAGACGTGGCATTCCTATCCACTTTGAGTGCTATGATGCAAAATAAAAACCAAGAATGATGTGGCCCCATGGAGACCACCTCTCATGATGAAGACACCGAGAGTTGTGGCCCAAGAACAAAGGAAAAGAGAAAAATCACACTACTCCAGTGGCCTAAAAGTTGTGCACCATGACAACTTTAAAGCAAAGGGAGTATAAATGTTTCCAAAGGAAGCACAGAGAACACTTGCAATACTGAGATCTAAATACAGGAGCTTCCAGTCTGCGTTCTTGACTGAAGTAAGTAGCATGTGAACACGAGAAAGTGACATTTTTACTTTCTAGCTGAAAGAACACAAATGTAAGTAACAAAAAGATCTCCCTGGCTCTTTTTCCAATTTTTTTGCATCATTCTTTCTTGAACCGTTAAAACTGTCAAGAAAGTATCTTAAAAAAACAAGAAGGAAAAAAAATTCTGAGATATGAAATGTCCGGGAGGCTGCTCGACTTGGCATTACCCCAAAAGCAGCTTTTCTTCAGATGCTCTGATGAAGAATCCAGGTATACAACACTCAAAGCAAACCATTTGTCTGATTCACCAAGGAAGTTTGATTCAAATGCATAATACACTCACCTCAATGTTCCAGATGTTTAGATTAGAAAGTAGATCCCAACAGAAATTTCCATTCTTATCCACTCCACTGAACCCAAAGCCAGCTGCATTATGCACTGCATCAGCTATGGTTTTTAAAACAATACATTAGAATATGGAACAAAAATCACATTGCTGCTTTAAAAGATAGTAAATATCTGTCTAGCTTCAAGATTGAGACATATATGGTAGTTTCTCTGGAAAAAGAACCAAAAAAAATTTAAGGGACCCGATACCATTGTGAATCAGAAAAATATATTTGGCTGTTTGGTGACCTTGACTTTTATTCATTCATTCCCTACCATGTAGTGAGCACCTGCTAAGTAAGAGGAAAGGTGCTAGATGTCATATAATGTAAAACTGAGAACTAAAAGGAAGAAGTAAACAGGATTTGGTAACCAACTTGATATGCAGGGAGAAAGGGAAGGAGGTAGAAATGTATCTAAGGTCAGAAGCAAGAGACTGGAAGAAACAGAGGACCTAGTAGAGGTCCAAGAGCTGTCGCTAAAAATGGCAGGGCATTAACTGACAGCACTAAGTCAGGGGGAGAAGCAGCTCTGAAAGAGAAATTGGAGCTCATTCTGGACATGCTAAACACGAGTAGGATACCAGCTTCAGCTACCAAGATGCAGTCAAGAAAAGTTTAGAACCTAAAACAAAGAAAGAACAGAGCTAGAGATGTGAATTTGGGGCCAGTTGCAATAGAGGCCACATCTAGACACAATTACCGAAGCCATCCTACCCATACGGTCAATCTAAAAGCTCCTTTATTTTACTCCACTGAACTACGAGAAAACGTCCCTCTGCCATGAATAGTTCACCTCTAGTCAATTCCTTAATGAAGCGCTTTTGTAATCAAATATAGACCTGATGAATTTTTTTTTTTTCCTTTTTGTCGTTTTTCGTGTCCGGCAACGGATCGCAACCCTCAGTGTCGCGCCCGTACCAGACCGGGGCCAGCAACGGGATCGCAACCCTCGGTGCTGCACCCGCACCTCGCTCAGCCAGTGAGCGGGCACCAGTCTGTATGTGGGATCCGAACCCTCTTCGGGAGCGCCACTGTGCTCCCAAGCGGCGCACTGTAGCAGTGCGCCACCGGGCCGGCCCCAGACCTGATCAATTTAACGTACTTTTACTATGATGACCAAGAGGCTGATTTTCTCTTTCTCTTTTTCACTTGTCCTATTTCAAGTTCTGTTAGGATATTTTCTCTAAAAAATAATTAATTAATCAAACTAATTAAATCAGCACTATAAAATCTTAGATCTGGAGATCTTAGAGAAATCTTTCTTTTCTCATGAGTTGAAGTCCGACTCAAGATGACTTTCTGAAGAACTATTCTAAAGAAAAACAACCTGCTCTGTTTGTCTCATTTATTTCTGGCATGGTTGATAATTTAATGTTGCTTGTCTTATGCTTGGCTTTACTGTAAAATGATCTGGTTTCTTTTAGAAGAAAGGATGAATAGTGCTGAGTCCTTCTACATCATTCTATGTCATTCTCCCAAGGTGATGGATGGAAACTCAGTGGAGAAGAAAAAGAAAAACAAAGCAAGACTGTCCCAGTAAGAAACTAATGGTTTTCAGTGTGTGGGAACAAATTCATGAATGACAGAAGGTAAACTAAACTGGGAGACGAGCCTTTGAGATCCATGCTAACAACTAAAACCAGAGCTGGACTGACCAGCATCACAATTTCTAAATTCCTTCTTCAGCCTTGTATCTGGCATGCCTGGTCAGACCTAAAAGAACAGAATAATAATAACTATCTGTCTTAGTCCGTTTGTGCTGTTATCACAGAATACCTGAAACTGAGTAATTTATGAACAGGGATTTATTTATTACAATTCCGGATGCTGGGAAGTCCAAGGTCAAGGTGCGAGCATCTGATGAAGGCCTTGGTAATGAGTCATCCCACAGCAGAGGGGCAAGAGAGCACAAGCGAACAAAAGAGGACCCAACTGGCTTTTATCAGGAGTCCAATCCCATGATAATGGCAACGATCCATTCACGAAGGCAGAGCCCTCATGGCCTAATCAGCTCTCAAAGGTCCCACCTCTCGGCTCAGTTGCACTGGGGATTAAGTTTCCAACACATGTACTTCAAGGGACACATTCAAACTGCAGCACTTTTTTTTCAGTGCTTATTATTTTTCAAGGACTTGATAAAACTCTTCATACATATTTCTCATTTAATCATCACAACAGTGTTAAGGGTGGGCTCTGGAGGAAAATCTGCTGAGTTCCTATCTCTGCTCAGCAATGTACTACATGCATGCCCTTAAAAGAGTTGGCTAACTTCTAGAAACCTATTCCCTCCAGTATAAAATGGTCAATAACAATGGTACTCATTTTAAAGAGCTGTTGAAAGGATTAAATAAAATTAAATATGTGTAGAGTCATAGCTCAGTGCCTGGTCCAAGTCAACACTCAAGAAATGTTACCTGCCATGATGAAGATGATGATGATGATTAGCCTATTAAGGGGACCGAGATTAGAGATGTTAGGTAAACATTAAGATCACGCAGGTGGTAAATAATGCCAGAATCTGAATTCTAGAAGTCTGATTCCACAATCTGAGTGGGCGAGCACTCTGAAAGACAAATGGTGAAGGACCCCAAGTACTGACTCTCAGAACCGCCACGGTTAGACAATGTCAGAATTCCCAGCTCCGCTTAGTGCATTCCACGGTCACTTATCCAAGATTTGTTTTTGTCTCAGAGCGGTTAGAGGTTCTAAATTTGCCAGTCCAAAACTAGCTCTGCTTGTATTGTGCATGGCTCTAACCTATTATTACTGATAAATTAATTTACACAGCCATATGTTGGAGTTTGTGATCCTTAGAACATAGCCTGGGCTTAAGTTGTCTCACTAATTAGTACTAATTAGTAGAGGAAAAACAACCAGAATTGTATACTAAGTCTAAAGAAAATAGATTATTTCAATATAAACAGTAACTACAGCTAGGCTAACACAGTGCAGCTCAGCTGAGATTCATCAACAGGCCAGCTTTAAGGATTAAATTTATAATCATGTATAATTAGTACATCAACTATATGTAAATGGTGTTTTAAAGAGCTGGATAAAACAATTATTTGGTTAAGCAGTTTAAATATTCCCTGATATACTATTTATTGCTTCTTTACTCATAAATAAGACAAAGGTTAATTTCAGACCAGTTCATACAATCTACACTGGAGCAAACCACAAATTGAAGCCATACAAATTAATGAAATGTTTCTACTGAAGCTACCAAAAAAAAAAAAGATTTTAAAAAGCGGTGGGGTATCGGGGGAGAGCTATGTCCACAGAGAAAGCACTCCACATGTGAATACTCCACATGCTATACTTCAAATGCCTGGGGTACTCCCAAAAGGGCAAAATGATGCGAGAGCCCCCTGTTCCCTGTAACCGTTCCCCACCCAGGTCCCCACCAGCACAGCCTACCTAGCACCAGATTTCCCAATGAATGGCCTTTCTTCCCTCCTTAAATCAGGAGCTATTTTGGCCTAGAAGCCTGGGATTCAGAATTTGGCAGTGGGAAGGGGAGAGAAAATACGGGTAAGGAGGCAGAAGGTAGTGAAAGGGAGAGGCACCCGGCATTCTTCTTCACGATACAACTCTGATGATGGGATTAGGTGCTGTATTTAGACGTAGAATAGATCTCTGACACTCGAGAGTTAATTCTATCCAGAATAGAAGAAAACTTCTATGCAGCATAGTCTACCAACAAAAGGTATGTAGTTTTATTACCCAAAGCATAAGAGAAATGAATAACATTACTGGGTGGCAAATTCCCATCAGAAAAAAAAATAATTTGGACCAGCCTGGTGGCGCACTCGGTAGAGTGCGGCGCTTGGGAGCACTGGCGGCGCTCCCGCCGAGGGTTCGGATCCCATATAGAGACCGGTCCACTCACTGGTTGAGCGCGGTGCGGGCGCGACACTGAGGGTTGCGATCCCATTGCCGGTCGCGGTATGGGCGCGACACTGAGGGTTGTGATCCCGTTAACGGTCACAAAAAAAGACAAAAAGGAAAAAAAAAAAGAAAGAAAAAAAATAATTTGCCTTCCACGTCTGGAGCCAGCGGAGCCCAGGAAATGGGTTTGAGTCACCAGCAAGGTGACTGCTACACACACACACATTCAGGTTAGAGCAAAGTAAAAATATTAATTATTTCGACCGGTTCCCGCTCACTGGCTGAGCGAGGCGCGGGAGCAACACCGAGGGTTGCGGTCCCGTTGCCGGTCCCCGGTCCGGTACGGGGGCAACACTGAGGGTTGCAATCCGTTGCTGGACACGGAAAAAAGACAAAAGACAAAAAAAAAATATTAATTATTTCACACAGAAAAATATGCCCCATGTTCCAGCAGGGTTTCAGCTCCAACCATAGCAGGTATAATGCCTACCTATGAAAGAAATAATCATTTTAACATAATAAAGCAACTGTAAAACAAAGAGTAAGATCAAAGGAGACTTCTGAAGCCTTCCCCAATGGCCCGTCCATAGTCCTCATTTCCACTGGGACAGGCCTCGGTGCGTACTGCCTGCCTGCTGTGTGTGTCTGTGCTTCCACTGAGTGTGACAGCCTTAAGGGAGAGAAGACGTCTTACCTTTTAATTCTTTATAGCACAGAACCTGGTACTCAGCAAGAACTCCTTGAATTAAACTAAGTAACATGAAACGAAATTTCCCATATTGCAAATTTTAGAAAAGTTCTAAGTCAGATCTCTTTGGCCAAATGTTCCATAAATACTGCATTAGACTGAACTTGTCCAGGAACATTTTGGGGGGGGGGGCCTTAAAAATAATATGGACCAGGAGGAAGGAGAAAGGGGGAGTTAGTGTTTAATGGGTACAGAGTATCTGTTTGGGGTGATGAAAAAGTTCTGGAGATGGATGGTGGTAATGGGGCTTAATGCTACTGAACTGTACACTTAAAAATGGTTAAAATCATAAATTTTATGTTACATATATCTTGCCACAATTAAAAAAATAATAAATTTAAAAAAAATAATTTGGAACTTGCAAACTTTAATTTGGGGCTTAAAACTTGAAGCATGACTGAGAAAAAGGGAACTCAATCAACTACATGCTATTCCCTCATTCATGGGTATGAGCAAAACACCAGGAACTGAGTTAAATAATCCATTGGACTTAGTAAGCCAGTCCCTGCTCTCTGACACCAAGCACTAGCTCACGCACTTTCAGCCAACATGTTAAACTTCTACTCCTGAGAGAGTTTCAAGTGTGAAATGGATACAGCTGTCATGCCTTATCGAAATCCTTTACCCGTCTCGATAAGTACATAAAAGGGTTTATTGCTCACTTTAGCAAAGCTTTAAACAACTCCAGTCTAAGATGTTTGAAAGGAAAGAGATAAAGCATAATACTGACCAAGTTACCCCACACACACACACAAAAAAAAGTGTGGTAAAACCAAATGAAGTTGAGCTTTCTACCTTAAAACAAAAAATCACTTGAAGTAAGCTTCCTTCTAAGACACAAAGTTTAACCAACAGTTTCTTAAGGAAGGGCAATCTGAATTAGCATTTGTGCTGATAAAGTTAATTCGGTGGGCATCCCACATTACATACAGCCCAGAAAAATTACAAGCAAGCCAGATTATTCTGGAATTTTCCCCTAACTTTCCACTGCACTGACTGGCCAAATTTGGAGGAAGCAGAAACTTCCAAGTTTTGACATCTGTTAATAACATTGGGTTTAAGCAATAGCCAGGATTGTTTTTCTCCTTATCAGGGATAATTGAGTTCATGGAAGGTGGAAGAGAGGATCACTATGTTGAAAAGTGAAAAATTACTCTGGCTCAACTGCTTCCCATTATGTATGAGACTTTGTTTGCTTAGGTGACCCAAAATGTTGTTCTGGCTAAGCTATCCAAGGAGGGCTATTTTCCCTCTTTCACTTAGAGCCACTCCATCCAACTTACCTAATGTCCAGGCAAAGTAATACTTGGGCTTTGAGGCTTGCATGACAACATACAAGTAGCACAGTCGAGTCAGAAAGTTTGCTTTATGGACAAACCAGTCATCAGCAAGGCAAGTGACAGGGAAGGTCTTCGTGAGTGTCAAAAACAAAAGAAGAGACAGCAAGGTAATGCACAACTTGTGTATCACAGCTCCCTGAAAATGGAGAAAAAAATCAATGTAACCATTCAGAAGACTGGTATGAGGACAAGAGTTTCAGCAAGGGCATGTTAAGAGTGACATGGCTCCAATAGCTGCTGTGGCATTATTCCCTAGAAGGAGTGGCTACGGGCATTCTTCCTCATGACACAGACCTGATGATGGGGATTGGGCGCTGTATTTAGATGCAGAATAGACCTTTGACACTTGAAGGTTGAATGTATCCAGAATGGAAGAAACTTCTATCAGTAGAGTCTAACAATAAAAGGTAGGTGGTTTTATTATCCAAAACATAACAGAAAGGAATAACATTACAGGGTGGCAATTTTCCATCAGAAAGAAATAACTATTTGCCTTCCACTTTTGTAGCCAGCAGAGCCCAGGAAATGGGCTTGAGTCACCTGCGAGGAGGACAGAGGCTCAGGTACAAAGGCTTCTGTGCAAGATGCTGAATACCAGAGCCGGTACGTGGGCAGGTAACGGGGAACTTTAGAAAGCCTTCCAGGAAGGCTTAGGCGTAGACTGCTCTGGGGTTAATATGTGCTGACTTCTAAAATTCCTCCAGATGAAGGGATTTTGCCCAGTTTCCTTGACATTCCAGGGAATGTCATTCAATGTTCAACAGAACTATAGCTTCCAACTTCATAAAAACGGACTAATTGTATTTATAACATGGGCATAGTGATAGCACCTCCCTCTGAGGGCAGCTTGGGGCTTAAATCAATGGATGTTTCCAAGGTACTGTAAATAGTGCCTGGCTCCCAGTTAAGTGCTCACCACACTTGGCCTCAATGACGACACACTGAAGAGGCACCCACTCGTGGGTCCCCACCCATCAGTGTGTCTTTAGCCAAAACACAACTTCACACTTCACCTTCCCTGTGCACAAAAATGCAAGAGTCTCCTTGTAGAGTGATGGTAAGACTCTCTGGTAAAATTACTTTCTAAATAAAAGCACATGAAAGACAAAAGCACGACAGTGACAGATACTGCCTGGAAACACATGTGGTTACTTTGATGCCACACAGCCATGGTGACTTCACTCCCAGATTGTTTCAATAAAGCAGAGGGAGCTGATTCACCAGACAGACCATAAAGTGCTGGGAACTCAAATATGTGAAAACTATCTCAAAATTCACACTTGATTAGTAAATCACTTAAATTTTCAAATACCCAACTCATATTTTTATCTAAATTTTTGCATTTATTAAATATTTAACTCAAATTATCCTCATTTCCTCCCTTTTCCAATTTTCATCATTCCTTCAACTAACTACAGATTTCACTTACATACAGGATATTTGACCTGAATACATTTAGCATACTTGTAAGGTTCAAAAACTTATCCTAATGTTAACTCATTTGAGATTGATAAAATTCAGGTCAAAATTAAAATATTCTTTCAAAAAGCCATCTTACACTCTCTCAAAGTCAATAAAACCAAATTTCAGATATGCCCGTGTAAAATCAGTTTCCGTTGCAATAAGTGAAGTCTGTAATAAAAAACACATTAATTCTGGTCCCCATCCCCCACCACCTTTTATGACATATTATCTTTTGGCTGTATTTGAATTCCAATTCATAAAAGCAAAACACCATAGCATTTGAATATGTTAACTTACACAGTGCTGGGCACATTGCATGCACTATACACTGGCTGATTAATTAATACATTGATGGCATTAATATCCCAGGCCAATGAGCTTCTCTGTTAAATAAACACCCATTGCCCCAACACAAAGGACTCATGCAAATAAATGCCAATACTGGTATTTTAAACAAATGGGACAAAAAAGCTATTGGCCAAGCTTTCTGGTAAACTGTTTGGCTTTCTAATTAGAACAATTATTAGTGAAAGTCAGCCCTGGCAGCAAAACCCTACTCTCTGGACCTCTGGGTAAACACTTGGCACTAGAAACTTACAGTGGGAGAAGGTTCTGGCAAGCCGTGGAAACCTTTTTGCTTCCAATTCACTTCCAGCAACTTCATGTGTGTATGTCTCCCCTCGATGAAGGCTATGTAGTCTTTGAAATTGTTACAAGGGCCAGCTATGACACTCATGAAATTGAGAAGGTAGCTTAAGTATTCCAAAAAGGAGGGTTTCATTCTGTGAAAATAAACAAAGTATAAAAGTTGAAAAGGCTCCAGTCTTTCATTTTTCTCCCAAATTTGCAAATAAGCAAATGATAAACACAGGTGTTATCTTTGTAGGTTATTATACATGACATGACCTTTCCTTGTTCTGTTTCCATAAAATCCATCTAGGAGAGAAATCTTGTTGAAAGGAAAAGTTACTGAGGTGGGAGGCTCAGGGAAGGTGCGGAGCTCCGTGGCGCCCCCTATTGGCTGAGCACAGCTGTAAACACTCAGGGTGGGGTTAGGGCAAAAGCAACTCTGAGACTGGAAAGCACTCTTTTCTCAGCATCCTTAACTGTCAGCAGGACTGAAGGTAATAAACATAAGGCAGGGTGGGAACCTGACCTAATGTTAGCTGACTGAGATGCTTTGACATGGGAAAACTCCCTCCCAATTGCCAAAATAAATACAAAACAAACGATGGGTGGAACCAGTTTCCACTTGAAGAGTCCACACAAAACCACCGCTGTAACAGTCTTTTGTCTGCTTTGGCATCCAGGCATGAGGTCCTGGACAACAGTCCAGGGTAGTGGCAGGAAAAAAATCTATAGAGCAAGCACAGTTCTGGGTAGTGCTTTAACGGCACATGAGGAAGCCTATTCTTCTAGCAGAATAGAATTGCAGGGATAGGCTTCCTGGAATGCCATTACTAACCAGTCACTGGAATTATACCCTACACAAAAGGGTCTTCAAAAAGTTCATGGAAAGATTTGTATTACCTTTCCATTCTATTTTTCCACGAACTTTTTGAAATAACATCTCCTTTATATCTCCATAATGGTTAGCAAAGAACTTGATTCATTAGAATATTACAATGGTTCTCCATTGCTTCTTAGTCCTTTAACAAAGGAACGAAGTCTCCTCTACCACTTGAGACCCTCCTTAATTTTCCCAGTAATCTCCTAACACCCTTCAGCAGGAGCCCCCCACTCCCACGGCTGCACCACACTCCCCAGTGTGCTCCTACGACATGCCATTTTCAGTCTCAGATGCTTTTCTCCTCCTACCTTAGCCTCCTTTCCTTTCCAACACCCACCCCCCTTCTACTCAACATCAACGCTGGCTGGAGCCCACCTTCAGTCTTCCTCCTATATTCATCTCAGCCCACATTCGTCTTTCTTGACCTACATCCTATCATTTTTCTTGCTGGCATTTAATCACGCTGATGTGCACTGATAGTTAACTGTTTCTTGAACACGCCTCAGACACATATGTCTACTTCTGGAGTAGACATAACAACCCCAGCGAAGGAGAATTCTGCAGAACTAACAAAATTACAGCCATTTACTCTTTGACCTAGCAACCCCACTTCTGGGAATCTATCCTACAACCATACCCAAACACATTTAAAATAACCTATGTTGGGGCTGGCTGGTGGCTTACTCGGGAGAGCAAGGTGCTAATAATGTCAAGGTCAAGAGTTCAGATCCCCATACACACCTGCCAGCCACCAGGGGGAAAAAAATGATGATAATAAAAAAAAAAAAAAAAAAAACACGTATGGATTGCAAAATTTAAAATACATACATAAATAAATAAATAAGTACACTTATGTTCAAGATTATTCATCACTTAACATTTGTAAAAACCAAAGACTGGTAGACAACTCAAGTGTCCATCAACAGCAGACTCATTAAATAAATGATATTACATCCATATAATATGCAGATATAAAAAATGAGGAAGATCTCTAGATGCTGATATGCAAAGGGCTCAAAAATACACAATTAACTTACTTCACAGCAAGTCGATGCTGCTCAGCAGAGAGGTCTTCAGGTCTTCGACCTAATCCTATGAAAAAGAAAAAAATTTAGAAATAAGATGTTTGACGTGAAGTAGATAACTAATCCTAAGAGTCTTATCAAACTTATTTGAAAAAGGTAATTTATTTCTGCTTCACAAATCCTAGAGTCCCTGTTTTCCATTTTTAAAAAATGGCCTGGATCAAAGGCTACCCATAAGTAGGTGTGAGAAGGAAAGTCTCAATAGGTTCATTGAAGAAGGGAGAGGTCAGAGGTTGCTCCTACTTAATTCACATATTAGGACATGGGCCCCAGAGAACCCTCCCCATCTCTTCCAGGTGGTGGTTTCTTACCACTTTGTATATGTATCCATTGCTACATCAAAGAAATAAGCTTTCCTTTTGTGAGCCACTGCAGTTTAAATACCTTCCTGATCATACTGGGTGCAGACACCTGATACAAGCTGAGCGTATGGGTGTGAGATATAATGGAGAAGAAAATACGGGACTTTCCTCTTCCAAATAACAGAGGAAATGTAACTCTGAATGCAGGGAAAGCATAAAAGAATTATCAGAAGAATTTTCTTCTTTTAACACTCAGCCCTAGCAGAAAAACTCCCAAACAAATCATACGTGTGCTTCCTATAAAGTGCATACGTTAACTTAGAGTCAAAGATACTGAAGTGTTATCTTATAATATGTCAACTCGAAAACTGGACATTCAGCCAGGACTGATTATGGTCACCAACCGTGAAAGCAATTCAAAACCTGCTTTCAATAAGAGAAGGT